GCACGTTCAGTGCATTATTTAAGCAAATCAGCATTTGCTTGATGAATAAAGAAAATGGACAAAATTATCTTGTCTTCTCAGTTCTTTGTATTCCGATTTATTATTATCAGCATATTTGTTAAGAGTTGTCTTCATCTATTGTATAAATTTTGTTTTACTTTATTTTATACAATTACTATAATAACATGTCTTTTTTTTTTTCAATTTCTTCACAATTGACCCAGGGTGCTATCGGTCATCTGCTTGGTGCAGCTGGAGCTGTTGAAGCAATTTTTTCTGTTTTAGCAATACACCATGTAAGTAAATTTGAAATTTATACTTGCATGGCAAGGAATGTCTCACCTGTATTTATTACCCATTGCAAAAATATGGATTTATGAGGAGGACATATCAGGATTTCCTTTCATTCACAAACATATATAAGCAGATGCTCATGTTTCTGATCCAGGCATAGTAGCATAGTGCTCATGCTTCTGAACACTTTTGTAGGATGTTCTGATTCAAACCTTACAGAGAGTGGTTTTCATCCGTAGCCAAAAAAAAAAAGAGATTCATATTTTGTGGTGTCTTATTGCAGGGTGTAGCCCCTTTATCACTTAATATTGCTGAACCAGATCCCATGTTTAATAATACCTTTATGCCTTTGACCCTTTCAAAAGAGATGCCAGTTAGAGCAGCCCTGTCAAACTCTTTTGGTTTTGGAGGAACAAATGCATCCCTGCTTTTCAAATCTGGCCCATGGCAGTGATTGAGTACCAGATTTTCTTCCTTGGATAACTGAAAGTGTGAACAATGAGGTTTTCTTGTTCTTCAAGCATCATGCACATCTAGGGTTTCTCACTTACAAGGTAGAGAGTGAGTCCAAGGATTGATCATGACGGTATAGCTTGATAATTTTGTCTCTAAATGTTATCTCCGGTTTCTTTTGTAACAATAGAAATTTCATAATTCAAATTGTACTTTATTCATTCTGAAACTAAAGTGTGGCCAGAGAAAAATACCCTGGTGATTAAGTCTCTCTTGGCCAGCATTTCTTTTGTAAAGCTGTAAATAAGGTTTTTCTTTATCCCAACGATTCCATGGGTGATTTGGGTATCTTGAGTTAGTAGGCTCTGGTTTAAACACCTCGATTATTCTCTTTATGAACTATATGAATTTGATGGTAAAATACTGCACTACAATTTTAAGAATATTTGCAGGTTATGC